AATATACCAAAAAAATCTAGATACTTTGTAATAATAACAATAAAAATTGCTTATATCTTCACACATCATTTAATGTAGGGCTTACACAAGTGGGACAATCAACAAAGTGAATTATGAAGAAACAAGAACTGTTTCCATAAGACAAGGATGCCCTGACATTATGCTGTTTAACCAGATGGACAACAATAAAGCATGACAATAGACATGAAGGACAAGAGCAAATCTACATACCTGGTGACCCCCATTCCAAACCCCCTACCCAAATGGGGGCATAAAAATAGGGTAAAACTTAACAAAACATGAGAAAGTAAAGAAAGAGAGATACAGATAGTGAGAGATAATGAAGTAATGAGAGACAGGGAGAGAGTATACCTGGTTTAATTGGTCTGGGGTCTCCTCTGCCTGGGCAGCTTGTTTCTGGTGACGTTTCACAAGTTGATACAAGTTATGAGTTGCCCTGTTTGAAAGATAATTGTTATATACCTATAAATATACATCATATAATACATGCAATGACTATTATCATTATTACAATGTATATGATTTCTGGTGACTTATAGGCCCATGTATTGTAATAGATATGCACATGTCAAGATAGTAACATATCTACTTACTTTAACTTACTAACTAAAACATGCTCTAAGATGTAATATTGTATTGCACAGATTACAGACCATCGAAAAATATGAAATAAGTGTAAATTAACATAATTGAGCCGTGTCACGACAAAACCAACATAGTGGGTTTGCGACCAGCATGGATCCAGACCAGCCTGCGCATCTGCGCAGTCTGATCAGGATCCATGCTGTTCGCTAGCAGTTTCTTTACTTGTTATAGGGTCTGTAAGCGAACATGGATCCTGATCAGACTGCGCGGATGCACAGGCTGGTCTTGATCCATGTTGGTCGCAAACCCATTATGTTGGTTTTGTCATGACGCGGCTCATATGTCTTTAACAATGATCTAGTCAAAAACAATTTGTAAAATCACTATTAGTACCATACTGTATATTGTTTCTTAGTCTATATAAAAATTGAAAAAGTATTCCAATTGCTAGTACATGTATACATGTATTCAAGGACTTTTACTTAGAAACAAGAACCATTATCTGCATCAAGCCTTCAAGTCATTTAATTTTACATTAGATAAGACAAGCTTGAATTGTTTACACACTCTTCTCTTTTTTTGTCCCTTAAAGCTTCATACCTCCAGATCAACCAAAATATTGCAAGAAAATCAAACCTGAGAAAAATATACTAGGATTTTAAGCAAAGTAGAAGGATTTATCTACAATGTATGTAGTAATTTACATGTTATGATTAATGACTGATTTTGTAGTATTTATCACAATATTTCTACTGCATGACTATCGCAGTAAGGCTTATTTTTGTATTTTTGACCTCTTTTTTTTAAATTTACATGGATTGTAAGTGCTGTTTGCAATATTTTAATTACTTTCTATGTTCGCTTGACAATATTTTACATTTAAAAACATTTTGAAAACTTCCATCAAAATTAGCATGAATTCTGGATAAGCAAAGGGTCTCATCAGTGAGAATATCACACTTTTCAATCATTTAATCTTCTTACAGAATGATCAAACATCTACAATAAAACTTACATTTTGATTCTTCCCAGGAAGGACAGACAGACAGACGGAGACTATTTCTATATCCACCGCCACCTTTTCAGCGGGGGAAAATAAGCATGAATCTGGAGGCATGCTGCTTTTAGCAAAGGGTCTCATCAGTGAGAATATCAAAGACTCACTTTACAGTCATCTATAATCTTCTTACAGAATCAAACATGTTAAATAAAACTTACATTTTGATTCTTCCAAGTTCTAATGTTTTCTTGGCAGCCGTATTTTTGATATGTGTCCACTGTGACTCCCACTTGACAGCTTCACTCTGTGCTACATCAAGACGGGTCTGTAAACTTGATAACTGGTTGTTATATGACAGGATCTCATTATCCTTGTCCTGTAAACACAAATTAACAAATGAGGATATATAATTTAGTTTAGAGTGAATATATAGATTATATCTCATCTTAAAATAAGTTCTAAAATCATATCCAAGCCTTTGGAGAAAATATTCAATCTCAGTCTATCAAGTGGCTTATTTCCTTCTGCCTTTAAACAAGCAAAAGTAACACCTATACATAAAAAGGGCAACAAAAATGAAAAAGGTAACTACAGGCCTATATCAATACTACCAGTTCTATCGAAAGTTTTAGAAAGGCATGTTAGCAATCATCTTAAATTATTTCTTGAAACTAACTCTCTTTTTCAGCCAAATCAGTCTGGCTTTCGCACAAATTATTCATGCGAAACTGCTCTTACTTCAATTATTGACAGCTGGATCAGAGCAATAAATGAAGAAAAACTTATAGGGACTATATTTCTGGACCCTAACAAAAGCATTTGATTTGATCAATCATAACCTATTAATTGAAAAAACTACAAATGTATAACATACATGGAAAATTCAATTTCATGGTTTAGGTCATACCTAAGTGATCGCACACAACAAGTATGCGTGTCTGGAAAATATTCTGAAGCTCAGGATATAAAATCTGGTGTGCCTCAAGGTTCAGTTTTAGGTCCTCCTTTTCATTATCTACATTAATGACTTACCTTTTGCATTTATCACATTCTACATTCAGACATGTTTGCTGATGACACTACAATTACCTCATTTGGACACAGTATCAGTTCAATTTGTACAAAAACTTCAGTCTGACCTAAATTCCATACAAAAGTGGTGCAACAGGAATTCAATTGATTCCAAATGCTAAATAAAACTAAAGCTATGTTTATTTCACCTTCAAATAATATCTATAATTACTATCAGTAATTACTAGTGATTTCCAGATCACTCTTCAAGATGAAAGCTTACAATTTCAGAAACAAAAAAACTTTTAGGTGTCCATGTTGATCATACACTGAACTGGAAAACACAAGTCAAAATGACACTGAATAAATGCAATTTTCATTACTATACCTTCTTTTGAGAATAAAACAATTTCTAAATGTTCATGTAAGGAAAATTTTCTTTAATGCATACATTCTTCCCCACTTAGACTATTGTTGCACTATTTTGGGGAAATTGCAGTAAAGAACTTCTTAAATGACCTGTATAAATTTCAAAAACGGGCAGCACGAATAATATTGGACAAAGATTTTGATGCACCCACTGATGATTTATTTTCTGAATTAAATTGGATGAAATTTTCTGAAAGAGTAAATTATAAAAAAAGCTATTTTAGTGTACAAGTCCCTTAAACAATCTTCTCCCTGATTATATGCAAAATCTTTTTACTTACACTGGAAAATAACACATTTAAGATCATATCAAACAAAAACAAACTTCAAATCCCAAAACCTAGACTTGAGTTCTGCAGAAAATCTTTATCATACTCAGGGTCAAAACTTTGGAATTCTCTTCCCTTAGATATAAGAAACTCCACAAATTTACAATCGTTCAAAAAATAATTATCTTAAATGGTGGTTTCTCTGGTTGGGAATAAAACACATCAAGTGTATTATATAAAATGATAAATGTATATTCTGAATTGCAATTATTATATTCTTATATAATATTTTTTCCCTAGATTTTTTCATTTTACATGTTTCTTAAACTATATTGTATTTGTAATTATGTTGTTGTTTATCATAACCTTTTCTTTGTAAATGTTTTATATTATGTACATTGTATATTTGATAGAGGCTCATAGGGAAGACTGGGCATGCCCAACTATGTTGCCTCTTTAAATAAAGTCTTTATTATTATTATTATTATTATTATTAAATATTCTCTGAGTGAAATATTAATTTAGCTTCCTTATACTTGGGATATTCTTATTACATATTTAATCAAAATTTTAAAAAATCATCATTTTAAAATATTTTAATATTTAATTAAAATAATTCAATAATAAATAAGTATTTAAAGCAAGTTTAAGTGGCCTTGTGGTCAGAGCTGCATTACTGGTACTGGTACTGGTACTTGCAGTACGTACTGCAGCGATTTTGCAAGTACTGGTACTGATCTGAATTACTCTTACAAAATTTTGCTACTACTGGGTACTGGTACTGCATTACTGTCTTAAAAAGGTACTGCTACTGCATTACCCAGTACTTTTGTTTTGATAAAATTTAAAATAACATCAATTTTCTCATAAAATAAAGCTGTAAAATTACATTAACTATATTTTATTTTTTGTAAAAAGTAAGTTATCAAATCTAAAGATAATTTGCTTCAATGTTCCTTCAAATGTTAATATCATGTAGTATTCATCATAAAAAGCACAAAAGACTTAACGTAAAAATTAATTAAGATAAACAGACTCAATAACACTTTACCCTAAAATATCCTTATTAAATTTTTTTTATTACTTGTATTTACTTAGTAAAAGAGCAAATTAAACACAAATTAATTTCTTCTATTCTAAAAAATCCCATTTCAAAGTGAAAAAAGTGATATTGTCAGCACCATAAAAAGTTGATATTTACTTTGGTATAAATTGAACAGAGGTGTTAAGGTGTGAAAAGGGCAACAAAAGACTGTTTGTGTTTTAAATGAAAGATGTTAGCATTGTATTTATACAGTTGACTGGTTACTAAACAATTAGATATGACATGAATATATGTTGTAAATATTGTTTTGTAAAAAAGTATGTTAAAACTATAAAGTTGTAAATATGTTATGTTAACTTTAAAGCAGCATGCCTCCAGATTCATCCTAATTTTCATGAAAATTTTGAAAATGTATTTAAAAGGTAAAATATTGTTAAATGAACAAAGAAAAGTACTTGACACATTACAATCGGCACTTAAAATCCACGTAAATTACCAAAAAGAGGTCAAACATGCATAAATAGCCCCTACTGCGTTAGTAACAACAGTAGAAATATAGTGATAAATACTACAAAAATACAGTCATAAATTGCACATAAGATATAAATTATCACTTGAATCTTTAATTTGTTTACTTTTCTCAAAGTTTTTAGTAATTTTTTTCCAAGTTTAATTTTCTTGAAATATTTGGGTCATCTGGAGGCATGCAGCTTTAAAGTAAATTATGATTTTATTTCTTTGCTGAATAATATAAAATTTTTGCAAATTATGTGTTTGACACTGTATTTATTCAAACTTTGATGACTATATAAAAGTAATGGTACTGATACTTAATTACTTCAGCAAAAAAAGTTACTGGTACTGCAGTACCGAGCTAAAATCTAGTACTGGTACTGGTAATGGTACTGCATAATTTGCCAAATACTGGTACTGGTACTTAAGTACTACACCCTTAGTACTGATGCAGCTCTGCTTGTGGTTAAGATGTCTGCCAAGTGCATCAAGTTATAGATCGTATGTTGCGTTCTATGTTGGAGCTTACAAACAGGGGTTAGTTTTCAATATTAGTGACTATCACAAAAGACTGTTTGATATAGATAAATCTCAATGATAAAACCTTTATTAAACAATATGTTTCATCACCTTTTATATTTCCATGCTGAAGTAAGATTAAAATGTCATTTAAACTTAAAACATACTGTTTAGTTTTGAATCAACATTGGGATATTGACAATAATATCTTTAAATCACATTCACACTTACTTCAATATATTTATTAAGCTGTTGTCTATGCCTTTCAATAACTTCTTGATTCTTTTGGTCACTTTTTAAAAGATCCTGAAAATCAAGAAAAATTATATGGATATTATTCAGATAACCTGTTTACATGATGAGGAGTTGATGTTAAGAATAAATATTCTGCTGGTTTCAAAAAACATATTTTATTCAATTTCACAACCAATCATTTAATTGTAAGCAAAAAATTTCAAATTCTGAACGATTGGCTCTGAAGTCAAATCACTGAAAAGCTAACATACAGAATTACATTTGTTTTAAAGACATGAAACTTCAAGATCAAATGCCAAGTTTACCATTTCAATGTCAAGACATAATCTTCGATAATTTTTCATATAAATGTTACATGATTATGCATTATTACAACCTGATTTGGGTGGCAGAAATAAAAGGTCAAATGAAGTTCAAGGTCAAAGGTCATATTTACCTCATGTGTGGCAGTAAGTGTGTCATATCTTGCTATAACATCTCTCATCTCATGAAACTCTTCTCCTCTCTCTAACGCCTTCTCCATATACTTATGAAATATGGAGTAATTTTCTAACTTTCTCTGTAGTCTGTCTTTAGTTCTTCCAAGATCACCTGTTTCTTCTTTTAATCTGTTAAAAAATTGGACATTTGTTATTTCCATCAAGAGTATATTAAATAAAATTAATCGTAAACATCAAAATAAACAGATAAATGCTACATTCTGTGAAATACATTAGAATTGTGTAGCCATTTTCCAGCATTTTCTAGCAGCCATTCCAGTAGCACACCGACTACTTTATCTTGTTCTATTGGTGCTCTTCTCAGATATTCCAGAAAACAACCAATCAGAATGTAAATGTGTCTATCAAAAAATGTTAATTAACTCCTGCTGCTAGCAACAGATTTATCCATGAAACCAGTTCAGACCAAGATCAGCAGTCACTTCTGTATTGTCTGGTCACATTGTTCACACTGTTTGCTATTCAGTCAGAAAATATTTTGAAACTTTCCCTATACATATGATACATGTAAATGGTATTGTCCAGATTGAAAGATGGACAAGTTCATGTGAGATACTTAGCTTTGTAGGGTTTAAACCGTTAGCTTTAAAACATATCCTAACTTCTGGAAGTAGCTCAATTATTTATAATGAAGAACTCTGATAGAATGTCATACTTTTCAATTTCCTTTTCTTTCTGCCTCTTCATATCTCTCTCATCATTGGCTTTCTTTACTGCTCTTGCTTTCTTAGAGTCATTGTCCTACAGGAAAATACAAACACAATGTTTTCATCTATTTTATGTACAAGAAAGTTTATATTCTCAAAGCATGCCATGAATTCTAGACATAACATAGTACATGCATGTCTATATTTCTATGCAAAAGTTTTTAAAAAAAAGGAAAATGTTGTGAAATGCCTTCATTTTATCTACTCTGGCATTTTACTGTGTAAGATAATAAATTCAATTAAAAACTATGTATCTATTATGACAATTTCTATGCATCTCTAACATCTTTCACTTTTATACATGTGTATATTTGGATACCAATATTGCCTCTATTGCATGAAAAATAACAAGAGCACCGCTAGGCGGAGCATTATATGCCCGAAAGTGGTTTTTTTTTTTAGTAAAGATGAAGCATTTGTAAGACATGGGACTAAAATAAAGTATTACCTCCTTCAAATAACAATCCTCCTTTGCAGTTTCAATATTGTGGTCCAAATGGAACTTTTAAGTTATGTCCCAGAAACTGTTTTCAATTCTAAGGTAAAAGTGACCTTGACCTTTGACCTTGTGACCCCAAAATCATTAGGGGTCTTTTACCCAATATGGACAATCATACTATGAAGTTTAAACACAGTAGGCCAAATGATACTTAAGTTATATTCCGAAAACTGTTTTCAGTTTTAAGGTAATAGTGGCCTTGACCTTGTGACCCCAAAATCAATAGGGGTCTTCTACCCAATATGGACAATCATCCTATGAAGTTTGAATATTGTGGGCTAAATGGAACTAAAGTTATGCTCAAGAAACTGTTTTCAATTTCTAAGTAATAGTGACCTTGACCTTTGACCTTGTGACCCCAAAATCAATAGGGGTCTTCTACCCAATATGGACAATAATCCTATGAAGTTTGAACACTGTGGGCCAAATAGAACTTAAGTTATGCTCCGGAAACTGTTTTCAGTTCTAAGGTAATAGTGACCTTGACCTTTGACCTTGTGACCCCAAAATCAATAGGGGTCTTCTACCAAATATCATCAATCATCCTATGAAGTTTGAACACTGTGTGCCAAATGGAACTTAAGTTATAGTCTGGAAACTGTTTTCAGTTTTAAGGTCATAGTGGCCTTGACCTTTGACCTGTGACCCCAAAATCTAAAGGGGTCTTCTACCAAATATGGACAATCATCCTATGAAGTTTGAACACTGTAGGACAAATGGAAGTTAAGTTATGCTCCGGAAACTGTTTTCAGTTTTAAGGTCATAGTGACCTTGACCTTTGACCTTGTGACCCCAAAATCAATAGGGGTCTTCTACCAAATATGGACAATCATCCTATGATGTTTGAACACTGTGGGCCAAATGGAACTTAAGTTATGCTCCGGAAACTGTTTTCAGTTTTAAGGTCATAGTGACCTTGACCTTATGACCCCAAAATCAATAGGGGTCTTCTACCCAATATGGACAATCATCCTATGAAGTTTGAATATTGTGGGCCAAATGGAACTTAAGTTATGCTCCGGAAACCAAATTGCTAACGTTTTCAGTTTTAAGGTCATAGTGACCTTGACCTTTGACCTTATGACCCCAAAATCAATAGGGGTCTTCTACTCAATATGGACAATCATCCTATGAAGTTTGAATATTGTGGGCCAAATGGGACTTAAGTTATGCTCCGGAAACCAAATTGCTAACGGACGGACGGACGGACAGACAGACGGACGGACGCCAGGGGGTATAACATAATATGTCCGAAATTCTTTCGGGCATATAAAAATGATAGATCATTAGAATATACCAGTATTAGTTGCTATAAGCTAAATTATATATTTAATTACATAAAAACCAGTAATATAAAACACTTCACAAACCTTTAAAAATTTGTCAAACTGTAAAAGTGATTTTTTAAGTTGATATTCTTTCCTTTCCAACTCTTCTCTCCTTTGCTGCAAACTTTCCATTTTCATTTGAAATTCCTGCAATTCAGAAAGGTAGTGGGTTTAATATTTAAAAAAGGTAACCCTCTGACAGAACATGCTTTTTAATTTAAGATTAACATACATGTATTTCTCATACTTACAAAATTTAATAATATATTGAATCTGAAATCATTTGCAATAAAGATTAAACTTTAAAATTATGCACAAGTCTATTATATAACACAAGCCAAACACAATACTGGAACAGTGGAACTTTGAAGTTTTGATTACCAAAGCCCTGGTGAAGAATATTAGCATTGCTGGGACAGTCAGTAAAATCTACAGTATAAAATGCCCATGCACTGCATGCTGGTGCCACAAAACAAAGATTTTAACCACTGTGTTAACCTGGCATTGTGAGGAAAGACAGACACTAAAAGTTGAATTTCATTTTCCTTACTATCTCACAGAGTACTGGTGTCTACTGTAAAATGATTGGCAAATTTTAAAATTACCTCTTTCTGTGCAGCCAAGGCCTGTTCCACCTCAGCCATTTCTCTGCGTTTCTCCAACAAGCGTGTGGCAGGAGTGAGATGGTCATCTTCACGCTCTGGCATTTTACTGTGAACAAATAAACAAACATAAAATAATACTAAAGATAAGTAGAAATATAAAAAAAAATATATATTAAATACACAATATATTAAAAATGAAGCAGTTGGGGAATTCTGTCTTGACCATTCTGGTCACGATAATTACTGAGAGAGATTTCTACCATTTAGCCGATTTTAATGTGATTATTAATTTTTACAGCAATTAAAGTCAAGTTAAGCATTAATTTGCATTTTAAGGAGAGAATTTTTGCAAAAATTTAATTAATACAATATCTATCAATTTCATTAAATAATCTAATCTTGAAATTAACATGTAATTAGAATACTTCTTAAATCTGTTAAGAACCTCTCAAATTTTAAAACAATTGACTTGAACTTGTATTTACTTGTTGTTTAGTCCATCATCAATTACACATCAACACTTATATAACACAAAGTCCTGAGAATTTATTACTTTTACAATTTTGTGACATTTTATTTTGCCTCCCTGTACAGCACTTAATGCAAAAGAAAACTCATAGATGTCAAATGTCAATTGAAAATTGTGAGTACTGTGTTTATTATGAATACTACTTATTTCACCTTAAGTGTTCGGTAATACCCACACCTGCTCTACTTTCAGACTGTGGTTTTATTGGTGTTTAATGCAAGAAATCACCCCTTAGAATATCCCTGCTCTCATGCAGCATATTTCATAATTTAGATTATCATACGGGGAAGTCAAAGACAGGGTCCACAAAGCTGGCCCGGGCTTTGGCTTGCCCGTCAATATACTACACATGAATATTTAAAAGAAAATCAAATAAAAAACAATTAAGAAATTTATAGAATTCTATACCTATCAATGAAATTTTCAGTGTCAGTTTAATTGGGGTGCCGCCATTTTCAATGTAACCCAATGATAATAGGCGGGGTATTCTCATAATGGAACAAATCTCAACTTTTCAGATTACTATTAATAATGGTTGAGTGTTCCGAGGAAAAACGGAAGCGGTCGTATCGTATCGATTTATTCAGGGAATAGACATATACACATACAATTTTATCACAGATATCAACTTGCATATATATAAAAACACACACATAAATGCAACAAAAATAATTATAAGATTAATTAATGAGTATGTTCTATGTAACCCTAGGATTGCCCATTAAGCTAAAAGCTTATTTCCAATGGGGTCCATTTTCTGTAAAATTATTACACTAACATACATAATTATTAATGAGTTATAAAGAAGTTAAAATAAATGACAATTTTCAACAATCAAGACACATTATAATAAGACAAGAACATTGTACACAAATAAAATGAAATAAATTTCGTTTAAACTAAAACATATTAAGTACACATAAACATGTTACAAAACCTTATCATAAGTTACACATCAATTTAATAATAAATAAACATATTATTCACTTGTTTATCATTTTCATTACTTAAAAAAAGTTTTACTTTCGTTTTAAATGTTTGGATATTGTTAATTGATCTAATGTTGTCTGGTAAAGAATTCCAGTCTTTTATGGCATTGTAGAAAAATGTATTTTTAACATAAGAATCATTTTGAGGCAAAACAAAATTAAAATTACAAGATCTTAAATTGGATATTCTACAAACCTTAAACAATTCCTTTAAATAAGAAGGACTTTTTGTTATAGCGGTAGCTCTAGATTCTATATAAATTACCGAAAGACACCTTTAAAACAGAAAAATGAAAGGATTTTTTACCGACTTCCCCGTTCATAGGCTTTGCCTAATTTCATATTAAAGCATGTATTTTTTAAATTTCAAAATTATTCTTTCAATGATTCTGAGTCAGTGAGTGTAACTGAAAGTAAAGAACTAAACATTTGTGATTGGCATAATATATGGGAAGCATGCAGATGGCTAATACTGCAAGATAGCTGAAGATCTATAAAGTGTCAGAACCAATCTTATAGCTATGTGGATTGCAGCCTGTGTGGAATAGAATGCTGGATAATGATTTTCATAATTTTGCACGAGTTCTATGTGTCCCATTTAATTTGTGTTTACGCATACTCACACGAGGAGCTTGTCCTCAAATGTTGTTCTAAAATAATCTTCTAAGCTTATTGCCATTTTTGCTGTTTATTCTGCGATCCTTATAACAAAAAATATCCCTAATTTCGAAGTTTTCGTTCGTCTCTTATGAATGTTTACTTCTAATCCGTAATGTCCGCCATTTGTAAACTAATCTAGCTTGTTGCCAATGAAACGTAAAATTTTACTTTTTAAAATCATTTAAAATCATATACATTTCTTAATTGTTTTTCATATTTTGATAATGTATTTTTAAATATATTGTTACAGAAATTTTAAAATTTGGTATAATATCTTAAATGAGAGAAATATTTCATAAGTCGTTTTTTATGTTGAGATTATATGTCAAAAATGGCTGCCATTTCGATGCGAGCTCGGTATCTTGGAAATATTTTCCAAAAAAGCAAACAGGTTGTTTGTACATCCGACAAATGCAGGGTGAGAAAATAAAGTTAGTGAATGAAAGTATCGAATAGATTGAAAGATTTAAAATGTCATGTTAAAATTTAGCAAATTTGTACATGTCCTTTTCTGTCCTCTAAATTCAACTGTTGAAAAAAAGTGGGTGGGGTATAGATAAAATATAACCGGTTTTACTATGTCATTGTTAACGAGCGTTGGTATAAGCAGACGTGCATCTTTTCATAAACCCAAGACTTAATTAAATGTGTCGAGCTTTACTGACATGATAAAATAGTATTATTTTGCTGTCCAGTTGATATCATTATAGGTGTTTGGAAAAGAGTCAACTCGTCCCTATACCAACTCGGCACCGGTCAGCTCGGCACGGGTCAACTTGGCACGGGTCAACTCGGCCCACTTTACAAAAATATAAAGGCTATAACGTATTTACTTTTCTTTGCATGTTGTTAAGGTAAATGAATAATAAGAAAATATTTTATTATTATTATATAAATTATAATTATACATTGTACCACTGCTGATATTAAGTATATTTAGAAATTTTTTTTATTTATTTGTCTTGCAGATTCGATAAAATTAATATAGATACAGGTACGATTATCAGACCTTGGAAGAAAAATATGAACAGATTGATGAAATAACTTTATATTTTTTCTTCCAGGTCCGATACTTGTGCTTGTGAATATAGATATAATAAAAATGTGTTTCCATAGATGCATTTTGTTTGTAAAGTAATTTTCAAAAAATTTGAAACAAAATGTGTTTACTTAATAGCATAAGCTTCTAATTAATTGCAGGTGGTTACTAATCAAATTTGAATGAATGAGTCAATCATAATTATCACCTAATTAATCGGTATCTTTAACATACACATTGATTGATAACAATAGGAGTCCTTTGATGTCCATTACCCATTTTTAAAAAAGTTGGCCGAGTTGACCCGTGCCGAGTTCGAATAGGGCCGAGCTGACTCGGGGTGTGAGTATGTTTTAGGGCCGAGCTGACCCGGATTCTAGGTGTTTGGCGCGTTGATTGGTCACTACCCCCGGTCCCCTGACCCACTCTACAACCCTCCTAACCTCTCAAAACCATGTAAACTGCTGTTTTTTTCATATGAAACATGTTTTAATATTTGGTTTATGCTTTTAATTCAATTACCTTCATTTCCCACAAAAAATAAAATTGTGATATATCCTCGACTGATGTATATATGCGGTATTATGCACATTTGTGTGAAATAATGTGGAATAAAGATATATAATAAATTATACACATAATGTATGCTTACAATTGGCCTTTTACAATTTCAAGTCAGTTCAAGTTTCACCAACTTACACTTGTATTTGTCAGTGGTAACTTTAAATTATAAGCGTTTGTCACAAACGTCCGCCATATTGGAACTGTATTCGTGGACGACTACAATTACGTCATTCTAGTCAAATCAGTTCACATGACAAAAATTCCAATCACTTTAAACGGATAAAATATCAATTTTTCTGAATAATGTTGATTTTTGTATCTATTTCTTATTTACAATTTTATTTTGTAAACATGTGAGAAGTTGTAAAAAAAAACTTAAATAGCGGATAAATTCGATTTTCATCTCCCCTCATGACCCTCATTTCTGGCAAAAGATTTAAGTAGGTCAAGTGCTTGCACATTGCAATCTAAACATGTGATTACATCTTAAAGTATGATGTTGACATAAAAGTTATTATGTCACTTTTAAATATTTTGGTCAAATAGGCTTAAATTTAGACCTAATTATTTTTTAAACGAAGGAAATGACACTTTTTGCATTAGTTGATATGGGTATCCAAAATTGGTCAATAGATATTCATAGCCTCGTTTTGGGAAAAAAAGCATGGCCGATGGACCTTCACATCTTGAAGAAATTTCCGTAAGTGGGAATTGTTTGACAAACTTTTCTAAGTTGATATAAATGGATTTGATCTACTTATAAGGTAGATATTTGGGCATAAGTAAAATTATGTTTTTTTTTATACTTATAAGAAAATAAACAATAAACTGACAATTTTTATATGATTTGTGATGGTTTGAATAACGAAACAGATGTAGAAACATTTTGCGAGAAATATTGCGTCATTGTCTGGCAGGTGCGACATGATTTTACGAGATTATCCAAGTGTAAACAAAATCAGCGAATTTATGTACACCGCGATTTTAGATACATCGACGATATATTTAGTAAAGGTATGCAACTTGCCGCTCATTTTTCAGCACTCATCTTAATATGAACTCCATAACTCCAACATTTTTTCACCAATGGTACCAAATGGTAGGGAATTGATTACTCTTAAAGGAAATAAAGCTGTCATTACAATCATTTCAAGTTATGAGAAGATATATAATCTCGAAGTCATGTGTAACTCGACAGAGACCTGACCGCTGGGTTTTTGTCAAAATTACCTGACTAAACGGCAGTTTATTCGAAATGAATGAATATTTTTTTGTAGTGCGCATATAAATATGATTAAATTATATTATTATTTGTAATAACTGTTCAATCAAAACATCAAAATTGTAACGAACCGTTTTTTTTTCGATTTGCCAAATTTTCCATCCAAAATGAAAGTACACATGTATAAACGGATGCATTCGATGGAGTATTTTCATTGGTTGTGTGAAAACCTTAGACCAGTGAAAATACTCCATACAAAAAAATAAAGAGGAGAGCACTCTGCAGAATCATTACTTGCATTACAATTTGGAATTTGACATTTCGAAAAAACAGTTTGGTACATTATAATTTTACTAGTCTTTACATTAGCTATTTATATACATGTCTGTTGGGCTATGAGAGAATCAGGATCCAGCACTAACTTAAAGGCACATTATGCCTCAGAAACAGATAAATATTTCCTTCATTAGAAAAGACAAAAAAAAGTATCATAATAACGGTTTTTACAGCATGTTAGATGTTTATCAACTGCATGAAGTAACATTTAATTGAAAACCTAGGTCCCATACCAACTAACGCAATATTAGTAACCATAGATGTTGCTGCACTTTATACGTCTATCCCACATAAAGACGGCATTATAGCATTAAAGGAAGCACTTAATAAACGCCACATACAAGAACCTAAAACTTGGATCATTTTACGACTCATGTTATTTGTGTTAAGAAAAACTTGTTTCAAATTCAACGAAAAATTTTACGAACAAATATCAGGCACTACCATGGGAACCAAATGCGCACCCAGCTATGCAATCATTTTTATGGCACATTTTGAATCAAGATTTCTGCTAACCCAGAAAGTCAAACCTTTGATATGGTGGAGATATATAGACGATATTTTTACGATTTGGCCGCACAGCAGACAGGAATTGTATTCCTTCATGGCCGCTTTAAACAGTTTCAGCCCGGCAATCAAATTTACACATGATGAAAGACCTTAGGTCAGTACATTTTCTAGATGTACACATAACAAAAGACGAGGTAGGAAGACTACATACCAGCTTGTATACAAACCCACCGATGCACACATGTATCTACATTATACTTCCTCCATCCTGAACACAAAAGAGAAGCATTCCGTACAGTCAAGCCGTAAGAATACGCCGTATATGTAGCAATGACAATCTTTATAATGAATGCACTAATTTGTCTCTACGAAAACCTAAGATCTAGAGGTTACCCTTTCAGTCTCATACGTAACGCAATAAATAAGGCTAAAAAACTCAATAGACTTGAACTTCTTTTTAAACAACAAAAGAACACGGAATCAAAAAATGTCATCCCGTTCATAACAACATATAACCCTTATGTTCCAGATATACAAAAGATCCTCAACAATTGTTTAAAATTATTAACTAATAACACATCTTACGCGTTTCATAAAATAATTCTAAAAATCATTGCTGTTCACCGAAAAACTAGAAATATTAAGAATAATCTTGTCAAAACAGACTTAAATCCACAACATGAAGTAAATGGAGTTATCCCTGCAAACAGAACTGTATAACGTGCAGATACGTCTCAGACGAAAACACATAACGAGTACAACTACAAAACAAACCTATAAGATTTCTGGACACCATAACTGCAGAACAATAAGCGTGATATATTTAATAACCTGCAAAAAATGCGGACTACAATATGTAGGTCAAACAGGTAACTCCCTTAAGAGAGCGATTTTACGGACATATAGCGGACATTAAAATCAAATAATTAATTATGTTAAGCCGGTTTTCCCGCCAATTTCAATAGTGCGGGACATAACGTAAATTAGCATTGACTGGTCCAGAATAATACAGCACACGGAACGCGTAATCAAACATACGCTTACGAACTAAAGAAGCGTGGAATCAACGATTACAAAAAAAACGCCGTTTGGACTTAATTTAATATAATGGCAGCAGAATTTACAGCAAGAAAACTAGACGATTATACTAAACATGAACTCGATCAACTCAACTTTATTGAAGCTCGTCCAATTCATCACCTATGTGAAATATGCGGCCAGGCAACATTACAATAGATGGCAGAAACAACGACACATGAAAACTAACACAAGATACCATTACCAAATACGAATGCTCGTGGTGAAAAACTATATGCCAGACAAAAGAAACTTATGAACACATTTTCCCGTAAAATACATGGATTTGAAGAACTCACATTTAATACAACTGAAATAGCAACGAAAAACAAACTGGAATACAATCAAACAACAGAATGGCAACA